TAGCGCTGGGAGGGACGGGGAGGCGGGTAATAGACCGGAGTAATGGGGGGAGGCGGGTGTGGAGGGCGAGAGACGGCTCCACCCGCCTCCTCCTCCCCGTAGGGCAGATCTGTAGCGCCGGCGCCGAGGTTTAGGAAACTGCAGCTTTGAGCCCGCGGTGCCCGGCACATGGGCGGGGCGCGGGGGTGGGTGCTGAAAAGACCCCTCCCCCGCCGCCACCTCTCCCCTCCTCTGGGAAGCCCCCACTGCGCCAGGCTCACCCATCGTCCTCTCCGCCAAGCCCCTACCCGCCCACCACCCCGGCGCACTCAGCCCCCTGGTAGGAACCAAGTCCCCTCTAAGGTCCTCAGATCGAGACACTAGTCGGCGCGTGCGGCTCCGTGGCTCAAGGGCGCCACCTGAAGGCTGAAAGGAGACCTTGGCCGAGCGCCCCCGCTCCCTTTCTGGGTGCGACAGTCGGGTACACTGGGTGGGACAGTCGGGTACACTGGCCAAGAAGGGTGTTCTTTGGGGACGTTGTCAACGGCCATGCCTCCTCCCCTGGGAAGGTCACTTGATTCATCCACACACACCCTCTTCCTGCGGCTGCTGCCCTGGGCTCTGTCTTTGTCTGCATCATTGCCCTGTCTCTGAGAGGTGGGCTTTTCTGTTTCAGCGCCAGCACTTCAATCAGACCGGCAGCTTCTAGAAGAGTGGGCCCTAGTCTGGTCCCCCAGAGCCCAGCGCCTAAAGAGTGGACGATAGTGAAGAGCATGACTTTGACTCCATCTCCTTACAAAGACCAGGTTAAGGTGAGTCAAGTTAATCAAGCCCAGTAAAGTTAAGGAGATGCTCCCTCTGTGAGTTTCCAGCCCCCCACATGAAGTTCATGGAGTTCCCAGCAGCCCCATGGTTGGGGGGCGGGTGGGAAGTGTGGCCTCAGGTGAGGCCTCTCACCTCTCTGAGCCTCAGTGTCCGCCTCTGTGGATGGAGAGTGACTACATAGGCTACAGGGACTTCGAGAGGGGCTCAGAGGCCAGCCATCTGGAAGGAAAGGCAAATGAAGGTGCCGGCTCCTGGGTCCTCATCCACCTTCAGGAGAACCTGCTCTCCCCTGCTCCAGAGCCTTGGCAACCAGTTGGGCGGAGGTCACCTGGAAGCCAGGTTTGGGGTCTTTGAGAAAGAGACCTGGCCAGCACCTCAGG